TGCAGTTAATCACTTACTACTTTTGGGGTGGGGTTTAGTCAACATGATTAGCTCAGTTGTCCTTGTATCTTCTAGAGCAGTGTTTCTCAACCCATGGGTCGCAACCCAAAAGTGAGTCACAAGAATATTTCAAAGGGTCACGAACTGTGGCAAGGCAAGAGAGCGGTGGGAAGGCACATGTCCCTTCCAGCTGGGGGAGAGCTGCATAGCCGAGCTGGCAGCACCAAGACCAGTGACCATGCTCACAAGCCTCTCCTCCTCCTCCCTCTATCACATGCTGGGGCCAGACTCTCTCTATTGCAATCTGCTTGAGCTGGAGCCACTGCAGCCACCATGCTTCATCATGAGTGGGATGGGGGCAGTTGGGGGCTCCTCTGACAGGGATGGTGTGGGGGTAGGGGGCTGCAGGCTAGGAGTGAGGGACATCAGCAGGGCCAGGGGAATGTGGATCAGGACAGGCTGTGGATCTTTCCAATTGGGTCTTGGTAGGAAAAAGGTTGAGAACCACTGTTCTAGAGCATGTATTCGTCACCGAGGCCTATATGCATGCCAAGTCTGGAGTTTTGTAAGGAAACCGTTTCTTATCTGAATAAGTACTTTAAAGTCCAAGGTAAATTTGCTCCTTCCTAACAAAATTCAAAGCAATCTAAATTGAATTCAGTTTTTTTTCTCACAAGTTTTAAAAACTAAAATAACTCAATTCTAAAATTCGCCTGGACCAGGAATACATTTTGAGTGTCTAGACTGAGGTTTAACTTTGGTTCACCAAAAGTTGGTTAACTAGTGGTAAAGCAGTATCCAAAACTACTTTAGACAAGGCCTTCAAGATCAGGATTGAATGGGCACCCACAGAAGTGGCTCTTCAGTAATGGTTTGAGCATGCTTATAGCTTGTTAGATGAAGAAAGTACTCTTTGTACCAGATAAGTAGCTAAGCAGAGCTTCAGTGCTGTGAAGTCTAACATCTCTCATAGACTTACAGAGGATGGGAATGACTAATTATTTAATGCTTTGGTTAGTGATTATTTTAGTTGAGAATATTTTCCGCTGTAAAAAAAACAAACCAAGTACGTTAACCACACTAAGAATATTAGAAATAAAGTAAAACAATGTGAGAATTCTTCTGTGCAAAACTTTACCCTGGTTTGTCTGCATGTAACTGGGTAATAGAAAATACTGTGCTTGTGTGGGCAACCCTTGGCACTTACACACATACAGGGAGCCTGCTCTGATGTGCTAGATTAATCAAGTCTGCTGGAGCACATAAATTGATGCTGTCTGGCAGCCTCGCATGTCACATGTATCAGCAGCGCAACACGTCTCCACACTGAGAAAATAGCGGTGGTGTGCTTTGAAATAAAGCACATTCAATGTTCAGAGTGCCTTGCTGCCATTTTCTAAGCCCAAGGACGTGCTGCACCGCTGATGCGCACGCGTCCTTGTGCATCAGCATGGGCACTTTTAATTAGCACAGCTTGCTAATTAAAAGCACCCAGTGCCGTGTCAGCAACACATGTAAAAATGCTCTTTTTGTGGTTCCAGCATTTTCAAGCTTTTGAGCTTTTGCAGTTGCCTTATTAGGTGTATATTACAGCTAGGTACAGACGTTCAAAAAGTCCAAAGAAGAATCTAAGTTGCACCGTATTTTGTAAGCAGCATAGTTTAGATCAGTAGTAAACAGCCTATCCTAGTCTTCATGCTGGGGCATATTTGCTGATTGGGGGAGGAAAGGGGAGAGGACCAAATTTTAGATCAGGTTCTACCACTCTTAACCCAGTCTGTGCGCCAAACTTCCATTCTGTTACTGGTATAGACTGGTTTCTGATCACTTACATTGGTAAAGGGGTAGTGTCTGTACCTAGCCTGAGGTTTGAGCTTCTAAAACTCCAGGAAGTTTCTATTGAGCGTAAATGGTACTGTACTCTTAAAGGCATATAACTTGGCCAAATTTAGACAGTGTTTTAATAGCAGCAGAGGTACATCCCTGACTCTCAAACCATTCCCTGCCATATTTCAAGTTGATGTCCACAGAACACAAAAGATTTTTCTGTTTGGTTTGTGGAAGGAATTGTTGCCTGTGATTCAGCTTTGAGGGGATCATAGGTCCTTTAATGGCATATTTTTGTGGATTAAGGTATGTCAGATTTTTATCTTGGTTTCCAGTGTCTTTTAGTTTAAATCCCAGTGCTTACAAAAGAAGGCAGGATCCTTTTGTTTTTTAAATGGGAATTATCCATCTCCTTAAAATATTTGGTTCTAATCGGTTGGTGGTTTGAGGTGTCTGTATTTTGTTCATTTGTATACTTGCTTTTTCTTTGTATATGATTTCATTTGCCACCCTTGTGGCCTCATTGTGCTGGTAATACCATTTGACAGTAAAGGGCACGTACTTTGATTTGGGAGTGTTAGTGCATCCAAGTACTGAGTGTATGTAGTTCAAAACTTTTGTATTCCTGTAGTAGATAACATGCCTTGCAAGGTGGAGTTTTCTGTTTTGTACAAATACATTTCTTAATGCCTTCATTTAAGAGATTTAAAAGTAATAGATATATGAATGTGATCTACTGTGTCTCCACTCAGAAATGTTTTATTTGTGCCCATTTAAAATATGAGACTTCTGTAAAGGTGGCCATGCTTCTTAAAAGTTTGTGTTGGTTGACCATATTTAGAAACCGTGATGAGCGTAACTGTCTACAGTTTTTTGCCTTACTACTCTTTTGTTGCTCTTGATAACTTCGGGGATAGGAAGTGGAAAGTCATGGAGGAGGGAGGATTGTTGGTTTGTTTGGTTTTGGGGGGGGGGTAGTTTCGTTTCTTTTTTTTGCAGAATGAAGGCGTTAACTCCAACATATCTGTTTGTATAGCTGAAAACTGACAATGGAAAGTATATTATGTACTTGAGAAATGTTTTCCCTCTTAAGTGTTAATCTTTCAGTTGAGTAGGAAGTGGTCCCTATTCATGTAGTCTAATTTTAGGAGTTGATGTCTAGGAACTGGACTGGAAAATTGTTTACATTTTTGGTATATTTTTATCTATACAGTATTCTTTAATATGTAGTTTTCTATTTAATTTTACAAATACTGTACAGCTTTTGGCAGCCTGAGTTCTTACTTATTCTTTAAGCTGACGGTTGTCCTTGTTTAAGCTTTCCTGAAGAAAGTAACCTGCATTTAAAAAAAAAAAATAAAATAAAAGCATTGCCTGTCAACACAACTTGTGTTTTGTGACTCTTTTCATGATTAAATGTTCTGGGCTAGTTTCAGGCCTGTGGTTCTTGTTCAGTCAGCAGCCATCCTATTGTTTCCTACTTATAATCCATTATCAAGTTACGTTCCAAGTTTCTCTGTTAGATGCTCTAGTGATTATTTGTGGCAGTCATTTTCTTGCAGAACTGTGACTCCATCTTGTATTTGGGAAATCCTAAAAGGTGTTATACATAACTCATTCACTTTTGTACCTAAATGTGAATGAACTTTGAATTTCTTAAACTTTAAGAAAAAACTACTATTCTGGTAACCTAGAAGACAGATTTTTTGCCCAGATTCAGTCCTGTGAAAATTAATGTTTCTATTTTTCTCCTTCAGATTAATAAAAAAATAATAATTCTGGCATTCCTCTTAAGTTTTTAGGTTTGCATACTCCCTCAACTTTTAATGCAAACTCATTACAATTACTACATTACGTCTCCCCATGTGACTAGGTCCTGCCTACAGAAGAAAAATTGTGTACTTTTTAAAAAATTAATTCTCTTTTACAGATAATATCTCCTACTGCATTGTTTTTGGCTGCAAAAGTAGAAGAACAGCCACGAAAACTTGAACATGTTATTAAAGTAGCACATGCCTGTCTTCATCCTCAAGAGCCACAGCTGGATACAAAGAGTGATGTATGTGGAAGTGATGACTGAGCAAAGCTGTAACTGCTTAAGATACAGCTGAGTTGTCATGCTATAGTCTTGATCAATATTAACTGTTTGTAGACTAGGAGAAGCTTTCATGCTTAAATCATTTCAGTCTTTGTAACTTGATAGCGTATCTACCTGTGGGCTTAAAACGTGTAGTGTAACAACTTCATGGCTCATGAAAATAGACTGGTTCATCTTGAACATGAATTATTGCAGTACATATAAATAGTTTTAAAAGTGGAAACTAACTGAAGGGTTATACACTTCGTAGCCTTGTATAGGCCAACCTCTTTGTAAACACAGTTTGTCATAGTTCTCCACTACAATTGCCATCTGTTTCAAGTTTTACTGGCTATTCCCATCCTAGTCTTCATGCTTGGGCTGAACTCTCTATACCCCTTTCCCCAACTACACATCCTCGCATTCCCCTGTCACAGGTCCTTTCTGCTCCTCAGTATTTCCCATCTGCCACACATTAGGAGCCTCTGCTTTGCCTTCATTAAGGGCTTCTGCTTATTGCCCTCCTTTCCACATTTCTTTTTTTTTTCTGTTTGGAAATATCATTCTGATGGTAGAGAGACCTTCCAGTACAAGGAATCCGAATCTGCTATCTTGTACTGGAAGGTGTTTTGATAACTGGTGTCATCATCCAGGGCTTTGATCTGTTTAAAAAAAAAAAAAAAAAACCCCCAAAAACTGAAGACATGCTTGAATCTACAGCTTTACTAGCCACATGGCACACCTTCCTGTGTCCCATTTTCCCCATTTGAGTTTTCACCAAAATCATAGGGTTTCTCTCATAGAAGCATGAAGATTTCTTGAAATTTGGGACTTAATTGGAGTCACCTAGAAGTTTTCACATAACAGTAATATATATTACAATATAAAGACTCACAAACTTGGCCAAAAAATTCCTTAAAGAAAATGCTAGAATTTTAGGATCCAAACAAATCAACAACTTAGTGACATAACATTACAGTCTTCAGCATGATCATGTTTGACACACTGTATCTACACATGCAATTAATGTGAAGAAGTAAATTCTGGAGCTGTTTGCGCTGGAGTCAGTTGTTTCTGGGCACAGCATCTGCACACGCACCTGGGATGGCAGTGATGTGAGCTGGGGTTGAGTAGCCCCAGACTGGCTTTTGCTGATGTGGCTTGTGCTGGTCCCAAATGAAATAAGCCTTGACAGCAGCAGCAGTTACGTTGGTATAACTGTCTACCGTGAAAGTTTTACCTTGCCTCCAGTATTTCTATACCAGTATAATTACGTCCCTGACATAGCTATATTAGCAGGTAGATGCACTGTGTAACTTTAACAAGTCTCTCAAAAATCTTGTTATTTGGAATTTTGCTAAGTACAATAAATGTCTAGCTAGGTCTTAACATTGTTATTTTTTACATTTCAGGCATACCTTCAGCAGGCCCAAGAGCTCGTTATACTTGAAACGATAATGCTTCAAACTTTAGGTATGTTTTTTTGATCTCTATGGCACAAGAACATTTATTACATTGACGCCAATTATTTGGATACCTTTGGAATGATTGAATACTTTGACTGAATGGTTGACACTGGTACATTAAAAGCTTCTAAACAATTCCCACATTTTCCTTGGGTAAAATTATAGTAGCATTGTAAAAGGAATCAGAACTCATGGTACAGATATCTTTTCTTAGACCGACTAGATTTTAGCAAAAGCATTTAAGCTTCCATGACAGATATCACTTGGGGGTATCAAAGGTATTGTTGGCACACCTTTGCAAATGCATTGTATCTTCAAATGGATTTGGCGTTAGGACAAATATCAGAACCCATCAAATTGCATACCAAGTCTATTTTGCATAGTGCTTAGTTATAAGGAATTCAGTTTAATCCAAAGTAAAGCTATAAGGCAGCTATGGACTTAACTATACTTTTAATGTTTTTGAAGTTGAATGCTAGCATTGCTGTGAAGCATTCTATAAAGAAATCCAGAAAGCACAAATACAATCGTTTTAACCATTTTTGGCAAATTTAAATATGGACAGTTATATTTCAATTCAATATCTGGGTTCAGATTGCCTCTGTAAACTAGTATTACTCTTGTAATACATCCCCAAACCATGCTTAGAAATACCAGCTTAGTTATACAAAGTTGCATCCCGTAGCAAATGAGTTTTTTGCAGGTCTCCTCAAATCATGAGTAAAAGTTTTATATCAAGTACTTTGCCTCCTGTTATACTTGTGCCACTTCTTTATTTTCAAAATGAACGTTTTGTAGTTGTAGTCAGTTATTCCAGTGACATCAGCATGTGCTGAATAACAGTTTGAAACGTAAGCTCTTGTATTAAATAAATCTTGTTCTCTGACCGCAAAAATGAGCATAGTTGATTTGTCATGTTAGCAGACATGAGAATGATTTAATAAAAGCTATAGAATGGAGTGTATTTTCACTTTTTTTTTTCTGCCCCCTCCCCAGATTGTGCATACAACAGAATTGTTAACAAGTCAAGGTCAGATGGTACTGATCTAGTTCTGCCAAAAAAAAGTGGCTGAATGAGCAAAAAAAAAATTCCAACTTTTATCAGTTGTAATATAGAAGTAGCATGTTTTTAAATATTAGGTTCTAGAAAATGTAGAGTGATGCTTCTAAATGTGAATAAATCTCAATAGTTCATGAAATCCATTCTTTTTAGCTTAGCTTATTTTAGTTAACTAAAATCCAGTTCTCAATAAAGAAGTTCATTTTTTAGAGGTGTGATACCTAATCAGAACACCACAGGAATATTTTCTGGTTGATTTTGGGACATACTCAAAAATATTTGCATGGACACCTTCAGGTGATGGGTTTAATGAGGTTCTGTAGTAGTAGACATGAGGGATTGAAGATAGTTGTCCTTTTCTGAATTTTTCTAACTACAAATGTACTGTAGTTCTGAAACATATTCTTAACTTTCCAGGTTTTGAGATTACCATTGAACATCCACACACAGATGTTGTGAAATGTACGCAGTTAGTGAGAGGTCAGTGACCTTCAAGTCCTTCTACATTTAAGACTTGAGAAGGTGATATTATAATGTGATAAAATGGTTTAAGAAATAGTTTTTATTCCTTTGTGTGAGTTGGCACTTTTTCCCTCAATTTCTCTGTTGCCCAAAGAATTGTTCCACATTCTCCTGATTATGAAAAGTCACCTTTAATGCAAGTGACCTGCATGATTCAGATGAAATAGTAGTCCATCAGATGTTCTGTCCCTTATTTTTTTTCTGTCATTCTGCACTTTAAATCTCCTATTTCATGAGTAGGTACTATCATCCTTATTTCTGTTCCTTTATTTGGTAGAGGTACAAACTGCTATATGTGGTCTCCCTTATTCAGATTGATTTATCTCTGGTAAAATAAATCTTCTGAAAAAAATTAAACTTTTATAAAGTCAATTATTTTCCCTTTGTAGCTGCATTGAACAAGAACATTTCTATCCACATGTGGGATGGTTGTTACGGCAGAAGTTCTACCTTGTCAAAGCATTATCTATCAAGGAGTGAGCTGCTAGTTTATACTGACTAACAGGACTGTAGCTGCATGCCAGTACTTCGAGTGAAATATGATTATTATTCATAACATTTTTCACAACTGTGGATTTGGGAATGCTTTATTTGGACTAATGTTAACAAGTGATGGGGTACAGTGGTTGGACAAAGGCTTTATAACTTGGCACGTATTTTTCAGTTAGTGTGTCTATCTTAAAAATACGACTTAAATTTGTTCTATGGAATTTTGGTCTGGAATTGGGAATTTTTATTATTTTAATTTAAAACTGATTATACTACAAGAATGCAAAAAAAAAAGTGCAAGCTTCTAAAACTAGTTGTCATTTAAACATATGTGAACTTTATAGTTCTACCTTTTCCATCTACTTTACAGTGATGGACTCCTAAAAGATGAGAAAAAACAGTTGAGGGTGGTGATTTATGAATATACTTGGTGCCATCCTAGTTTTTTGCGTTTAGGATAACTTAGCTGTTACTGGTATAATTGAAAGATTATGCTCTCTTGATCTAATTTTGGGTAGATCCTAGAGGTCATACACATATACACAAGCCTCATTGGAGCCAGGTGCATAGCGTTCTATAGAATCTCTGTTTTCTTAGAGTTTTTTCTCATACCGGGGGGAGAGTTTTGTGCACAGGTCTGATGAATAAAATTATTGGCGGTTATTATACTTGTACCTCCTTGTAGGGATCTCCACTGTTCTACTTGGGATCATAGGAAAGTAGGGCTGGAAGGGACCTCATAAGGTCATCTAGCACGTATTAAGAACACTGATATGGAAATTGCAAGGCAGGCAGGGATGGCTGTTCAAAACAAGGCAACAGACAGTTAAGTAATTACCCTCTGCTCCACTTATAAGCACACCTAACCATTACATTGATTACTATACATCACACATTGCAACCTTACATCATCCTTTGAGATTTCACCCTTTCCTTACTCCCTTTAATCATGGGTCTGAACACACTGTTTCAAGAAACAGTCCTCTCCCAGCACAATTGCTACAGTAATTTTCCACCATTATTAGCACCATGCAAAAAATAATTGTAAGGAGGTGTGTATGTGGAAGTGTGAGTGGCAGGGAGCATATGGTAATTATGGTAAGGGTCATGCCAATAGGGAGAGGGCATATACTGTTCAATAGCTTAAATTTTCCCTGCTTCCTACAGATTTGTCAGATATGCTGTGTGTAGCAAAAAGCTTGTTTGCTGATGGTGTAAGTTATTATATTTAAATGTATTTTAATTTGTTTAGTGCTAGTGCTTACCTATACAGGTATTTTGATTTAAAAAAAAATACCTACTGTAAACTTCTATTTTATTAAAACCAACACTTATACTAACACCAACTATATACGCTTTATTAAATCAGCACTTAAATTAAACTATACACAGAAAGATATTGGGAAAATAAACCTGTACTAAGCACAACATGAACTGGAAGGAACACCAACTATGTGCACTTTATTACAGGACATTTTAAAAAAGCAGGTAACTGAAACCCATGTTAACTTTTGAAAAAGGCTGTTCAGGCATGAAATATAACCATATTGCACCCAGCTGCTTTTGAGAGGAACATTGCCTGCCGCTGTGGGGTGAACACTTGTCTGCAGGCAGAGCTGGCATGCTCAGCATCCGCTGAGTTTGCTGGGTCGCTGCGACAGCACCTGGCCAGGGCATACAGGTGGGGAAACCAGTCACGGACAGAGTCCCAAAACTCCAGCATCCTGCACTCCTGCACAAAGTTTACTTTGCTCCCCCCATTCTCTTCTGGAGACAGATGAGAACTTTTTCCTGCCTTCTCTCTCCCCTCCCATCCCTGCTTCAGGCGATGGGCAGTCTGCCTCTCTTTTTGTTTCTTTGCTCCCTCCCCCAGCCCTTCTAGGAAACTCTCTCACTCCTTCTCCTCACCCCAGGCAGCTCCACCTCCAACGTATGGACGTGTCCCCTGCACGCAACCCATACACCCTGCCCCCGCCCCCCCCGGGCACGGTGTGCAGGGAGTGGATCATGCCTGTCTCACTCTTCAATACTGCTCCCCACCCACCCAGAGCCCCATAAAGAGTTTTGCTGAGTTGTTGGATGGGGCGGGGGCTGACCCAGCCTGTGACAGCTCATCAAAACTCCCTATGTGGCCCTTCGGGGCCCAAATAATTGCCCTGGCCTTAGATGCTTGGGTACTTTAACCTGTGACAGTGACTTCAAGTAACCTGTTAAAAAATAGTTTTAGATCTTATCTATGCAGGTTGAGACCTGACTTTCCAGAGGGAAGCCCTTTTTCAGGGGGAGAATACCAAATGCCAAAGAATCTCTTAATCTAGTAGGGAGAGGCATACCAAGAACCAATGGATGGAAGCTGAAGCCAGATTAATTGAATTTGGAAATTAGGTACAAATAAAAATATGATTAATTGCTGGAACAATCTAAAAAAGGAAGGGCTGAATTTGGCTCAGTTTTCTGATCTAAACACTATGCTTTTTTGAAAGATGCGTTTTAGTCAAACTAATGTTGGTGTAAGCACAGGGGCAGTTGCATGAAATTCAGTGGCCTATGACAAGGGTGTCAAATGTGTCCTGTGCCCCAGGCCAGATCCAGGCCACAGGGCAGGTGGCAGGGTGAGTAGTACAGCAAGTACCTGCAGGGTGAACGGGGCTGTCAGCACAGCTGTCGCTCCCCATCCTGTACGCTGACGGGGCCCCAGATTCTGCCAGAGGCCCTGCACCCAAATTCCCAAGCCTGCCAGTAACCTAGTGGGCTGGACTAGTGAGGAGGGGGAAGGGGCTCTGCAGGTAGTATCTGGCCTACAGGCCATACATTTGACACCCTTGGCCTGTGATATGCTTTGGACTAGATGATTTAATGGTTCCTGTGGACTTAAACTGTATGAACCTCAGAAGTTCTAGCTTTACAATATGCCT